CAACGTTTGGTTTCCAACGTTTGAGAAAATGCTCAAAAACGCTTATGGGAATAAAGAAGATAAATGTCTTTAGCTAATAAAACTAATTACAAAATTTAATGTTATCCTAATTTTTAAAGTAAAAATACGAGCTACACTCCTATACCCAGACATTTCGTAGATAAATAATATAGATAAGATAGAATAATATAGATAATACTGAAGAATATAGATGAGGTAGAATAAGATAGAATATAGATAAGATAGAATAAAATAGATAGGAAAATATAGAATAATATAGATAAGATAGATAATAATATAGATAATATAGAATAATACATATAAGATAGAATAATATAGATAAGATAGAATAATATAGATAAGATAGAATATAGATGAGATAGAATAATATAGATAAGAAAGAATAATAAAGATAAGATAGATATTAATATAAATAAGATAGATAATATAGATAAGATAGATAATAATATAGATAAGATAGTTAATAATATAGATAAGATAGATAATAATATAGGTAAGATAGATAATAATATAGATAAGATAGATAATAATATAACTAAGATAGACAATAATATAGTTTTTTTAATCCAAATTCATTTTTACATTTATCATATGTGCATAATTCACTCACATGACATAAATATTTCTTTTTGTGAGAATATAATTTTATACGGAGACAATGAAATTCATCATAAAATCATCTAAAATAATATTTAACTCTTTTAAGATATAATAATGACAATTTTAATTAATTTAAATTTAATAAACTTCAGTAATTAATAACCTAACTATATATATTATAGACTAGCAAAGATTTTATACTTTAAAACACTTTCAGTAAATTAGGGTTTTTTTTTTAAAAAATTAATCCTATTTATTGTACAATAATAGATAGAAAAAGATTTTAATCAGACAAATGCCTCGCTAAAGCGAACATCCTTTTTAGTGACGATTCTCTCAAAAATAGAGTGAACCACACTTTCAGTGACATCTTTCATCATATTAAAAATTTCCCATCAAAGTTATTGTACAGAAGGCTTTCTATCCTCTTCCCTGCTACTATCCTTACATATTTTTCGACTAGACAAATAAATACTTGAAAGCAGTTTATCAAACATTTTTAAATTACTTAAAATTAATATTTTTTAAAATGAATCAGTTTTGTTTTTTTGTTTTTTTTGTATATATATCGTATTAAGAGATTAAAATTTTAAAATTGAAGAAATAAAAAGGCATTTGGCATTTACACTAAATAAAAATTTTGCAAAAGTATAAATTTCTAATTTCAAATTTAATAAAAATTACTAATTTAAAATTAAAGTAACACCAATACATTTACAAATATTTTTAAAAAGCGTGAGAAAGTTAAAAAAAAAATCAATTATTTAATTGCATTGCGAATGCATTAAAATAAAAATAACTCACATAAATTTTTCTAAATTAAAAATTATTAAAAAAATTTAAATAAAGAAAAAAAACTACGTCTAAAGTACGCAATAGAATGAAAGTTCTAAAATTGGCTGAATAAATAAGCACCTGGCACCAAAGGTACTGAAGAGTTTCCTACTGCAGGTGGAGCAGGTATTTGACCAAACACCATCCCGTGACGACCTCCTAAAGGTCTACCGGGTATGTGACCTAAATAATAACATAGTTGTGAGTGAGATGAGCATAAGATTTAGAGTGAAACAGAACAATATATATAAACAACAAAAATTAACAAAATATATTTGCAGCTGCAATTAAACTAATAATTAATATATATTAAATGCATTGGTATACATTTATTTTATTGTTAATAAAAACTTTATTTTAGATAGGGGTTTGTGCACTTAAGGAAAAGCAAAAATAATGGAATTGTACAGCTGATATATGATTATTTAATGTTAATTTATGGTTTTGTACTTTATAGAACAGTAAAAACTTAAGGGAATATTTATTTTCGAACTTAGAAACATTTCTTATCGTAAATAAAATACTTGCGAAACATACCTTGTTGGGAGAGTTGTACCACAGCAGCTGGTAATTTTGTTGATACTGCTACTGGTGTTGCTCCAACTGCTGGTATCTTGATTTCAGCTCCTTGTGGTAAAGCATTATTACTATCATCGGTAATGCGTGTTGTAGTGCCACTTGTAGTAATTGAGTTATTTCCAATGGTAGCTGGTGCAGTAGTGGAGATATGTGTATCAGTTGTTGCGTTCTAAAAAAATGTATTTGAGAATTAATTACTTGAATAATTATTTATAATAAAAATTAATTATAAAATTAATAATAAAAGAAAAACAAAACTTTGTTAACTAATATTACATATTTGATTATAAATATACATTAAATGTTGTTGCAGTAGCCCATGTATAGGTAATAGCTGCCGTAGAAGACATATTTTACAACGTATCGAGAAAGAAAATATATATGTGTGTTCAAATAAAACTAATATGTAAAATAGTCCTTTTCACCACTGAAAATCAGTTTTTTCATTCCATTCTTAAAACGTCTGTGCACTAAAAAGGTGCAGGTGCAAGCAGACATCTGCCGTGACAGACGACTCAATACATAAATATATATCTGCGACCTAACAATGTATATTATAGAACTAAATAATGATGATAATCAAACCCTTTATGGCATGAAGAATAATAAAGAATAAAACAAAGAGAAAAAATAAGATGAGAAAAAGAGAAACAGAAGAAAAAGTAAAAGAAAGTGAAAAAAAATTAAAAGAACGAATAAAAATATACACTGTTTTGATGACAATAAAATCTCTATGAGTAAATTTATTTCCTGTACTATAAGTACATTGCCACAGGAATGGCCTGTAACAAAAATCTTCCTGAAGTATCCACTACATCGAAACTGACTTTATGATTAAAAAAAAATATCATAAAAGTAATAATTTACTTCGTATAATGTATAACAATAAGGATGTTAGTGCGATGAAGATGAATACTTTTTATTATGTCGCCCATCTGTTCTCTTGGCCCTCTTCGTTCAGACACCTTCCTTTTGACCTTTGGACCCACTCTCTTGAAGTGGTCAGATTTTTCCGCCTGGACCCAGGAGGAGGTTGAGCTCAACTGATATTCCCACCCACCCTATATCTACTCCTCTTGCTTTATTCCATCTCTCCCTCCCCTTACCACATCCCAAACAATGTATTCGTCTTTCAATGTAAACCTTACATCTTATCTGCTCTGAGATCTACAGATCTCAGAGGGCTACAACAACAACATTTGATAAAGAGTTCGAATTTGATAAACTTATTACATACATTAGGTTTGTATAAGAACACGATTATGTCAATCAAATTTTCCTGTATATTATTATCATAAAACTTTTGAAAAAATATGGAAAATTGATTTTTTTTTTTTTAAGAAACAAAATATTTGTAAGTTTAGCAAATTATCTATATGAATTTTTCGGATTTTTTCTCATTTTAGAATATAGTACAAACAACCGAAAGGCACTAAAACAACTAATAATATTCATATATGATATATACACCAGAAAAAAGAAAGAATATCGTCTGCTTATACAATATTGGCATAAGTAAAAATATAACTAGTCATGTTTTTCTTGTTTTTGCGTTTTGTTTTTTTTGTAATTATAATCAGACAAATGCCTCGCAATAGCGAAAATCACTAGAAAGCACACTTTTTCAAAAATAGATCAAATGCGCTTATCAATTGTGTATTACGTCATCATTTTTAAATATTTTTATAAATTCAAAAGCGTATATATTAATTTAAAAATCTTCGCACAAACCGTTTTATTAATTGATGTTGTAGCAGGGCTTTCAGAACGTTTAATTTGTTGTAACTGCGGCGGTTGTACATGAATATTGTTGCTTGTTCCAGTTCCAATGGTACTTGCAATACTTTCAGATGTCTGTTGAAATGTAACCTGTTGCTCTGGTAAATCGGATTTTTCTTCTTTGATCAATAATTCAATGCTATTAGCTTTCCGGAAGGTGATCAACTGTGGAATTGGTTTTTCACGAAACGTCTCGTCCATTATTACGACGTCTGTAACCATTGCATATAACTCGAAAACATTTTCAGTAAAACTATAAGAATAAATAATTTTAAAAATTATTTTAAATATCATACTTTTTTTCAATAATTGAATTATATTTTACCTTTCTACTAAAATATTTGTAAATTCACTTAATAAATTATTAATGTTTGTGTTGTCTGGTATTGGTGGTATTGTGGACAAATATTGTTTTGATAGTGCTGCAGATTCTTCTTTCTTAGTTTCTAAAATATGTTCAGTTGTTGGAAGCAATGATAAAAGAACGTTACTTTTATTAGCACTACCAACTACACTTTCAGTAATTGGTTCCAGTCTTAGGCGCTTATTAGACGGCGGGGTTTCGTCTATCGATTCAAGTTCAATTCGTTTTTCTTTGGACTTCGTGTTTCCTACGGTCACTACAGATCCGGACGGCTGTGAAACTTGATGCGAATTGAAACCCGCTGTAGAAAACCTTAATGAAGGCGTCTGCGGCATATGCACCGGTTGTTTTTGCTTTTGTTGTATCGCTACACCTGCTGTTTGAGCGTTGGTTATATTATTGTTAATTATTTGTTGACTTTGTTCCGGTTGTTGTTGCTGTTGTTGTTGCTGTTGCTGTTGTTGTGTAAAAGCTTGATGATAGCTTTTTCGGCCAACCGTTGGTAATAATGTATTGGTATCAATACCAGTCACCAAGGGCGATACTGCTCTGGTTTGACTGTTATTTCTATTAATTATTAAATTTAAATTCGGTAAAGGTGATCTGCGGTCTAGCACAGCAGGAGGGGCCGGGTTTGGCCCTTGATGCCCCCCTCCTGCTGACTCACCTTCATTCATGTTTGACGCATCTGTAAAAAGATTAACGAAATATATTATTAAAATATATACATAATTTTATTTTAAAAATATTGAATATCTAACAAATTTTGTTGCAAAATATTATCACAGAAGAGCAAAAATTTCAGCAAATCTGCATAAAGCTACATTTGCATATTTTTATAGCAAGATTACAAATTGTTTTACTCGATTTTTTCATAGTAACACAGAGTGCTCTTGCCATTGAATGATTCTATGAGAAGGCATTTGAATAAATATCATAACCCAAATATTTATTTATCACAAATAAATATTACTTAAGATCAAAATGTAAAGATCCTTCAGCAATATTCAGTTTTTGTATATTAATTTTGCAAAATTACAAATTGTTTTACTAAAACGTGTAATAGTAACACAGAGTGCTTTTGCGTACACTTTTGACTATAAAACATTTTAATGAAGTGTATTATTATAAATTAAAATATTATAGTTAACATTTAAACATCGCGTGATCTACAAAAACCAATTCTTTGAGTCTTTTGACATCAAAACAGGTGTGCGATAAAGGTATATACTGACACCATCACTTTTTATTATCGCGCCAGATAATATCCTAAGCAGAGCATTAAAAAATACCAGGGGTATCCAATGGGGACTGTTTAATTGTGTACAAGATCTAGAATTCGCGGATGATGTCCTGCAGTCACAGAATTGATGAATTACAGTTGATATCCGCCATAAGCGAACAAACATAGTCTGCCGACTTAAGAATAAGTACTGAACATACAAAAAGCATGGCAAACGGATACTGTGCAATTTAAAATGAAAGGTTGCATGTAAATGGTGGATAAGAAATTGAATATGTAAACTCTTTTATCTATCTCGGAAGAATTGTGACAAATAAGAGCAGTGACATAAGTTGTCAGAAGAAAGCGTACACATTAAACGTTAACCACATGACAGTTGAAAAACAATTAAGAGCAGACTATATAAAAACGATCGATAATTGTGACCACACGAATTAAAACAAAAAATAACTATTGACTGATTTACCGTTAGTGAAACGTCGCTGACACACACTTTAATTCATCATCAACGAAAGTCAGTAACCTTTCACAAACGATATCAAAGTCTGAAATAACGACAAATAAGGTTATGTTAAGTATTAGGAGGGACTGGAAAGAAATTGACTAATACGAGCTGCTTCAGCCTGGTTCCACAGTTAATTCAGTCGTACAGTGTTTATATAATTCGATCACTTGAACGAAACATCCATAAAAAAAACAACCGAAAGTGAAGTTGTGTTTCATGATAACAATGACAAACCCCACACATCTTTGATGACTTGGTAGAAGAAATTGACAAACTTTGGTTGTCAAGTTTTGATACATTCGCCATTTACTATATTAATAGTAAAAAACTGGCCAACCGAAAAACTTCTAAAAATCACTTGACCAAGTTTTTCGCCAGTAAACCACATAAGTTCTATACATATGGAATTATGAAGCTATCCAAAAAAATTACCAAAAGTATTCAATAATAATGGTCAAAGTATAGAACAGAAAGAAACTGGGTACCAGCTGCCAACAGAGCGGAGCACTGCGACTATAATTGATTTTTTGTGCTGATGGCCGAAGTATACTTAATTAAAATTGATTTTCAGTAAAAAAAAAACTTTTTGTTCAAAAATATACCATAAAAATGGCAGATACTTTTTATAACACCAATATAGGTAAAGACTGTTACACTATTCAAGAACATACTATTAACAAAAACTATAATTAAATAAGATGGCAGTATGTTGTAGTTTATGAAGTATATTGGAATGCATTTTTAAGTTTTTTAAAGTACCTTTTAGTCAAATTTTATTCTCTGACTTTATTAAATCAAAAAAACTTCCTACAAAGCAGATATCGATTTCTATGAAAACAAAGAAAAATTATGGAAATATTCTACTTTAGCGATAATCTTCAAGTATCTCTCATTAACAGCTCAAATTATTTGTTTTTTCTAGTTTATGTCTTTGTTGTCCTCCATGAAATATCCAATATCTAAAATTTAGTTATATATTTAAATATATATACCTTTTTTTTGCAGAGACAAAAATGATCTCGAAATATCTGTCATTAACAGCTTAAATTATTTTATTATAATTATTATTATATTTAAATACCTAATATTTTCCGCAAAAACAACTTAGAAATTTATTATTTCTCATTAAGTAAAGCAAATCTTTGTGGGGTCAGATCTTCGTGGAAAGAAAGATAATCTGTAACAACGTAACTGCGATAAGCAGACAAAGCTGTCTCCGATTCATTTCTTATTTATAAAATTGTGTAGCTTTCTTAGTGAAAACCAACAACAAAAATATAGAATGTGTACTCGATAGGCTACTTAAAATTGAATGAATTCATCTAAATAACTATAAAACAATAAACTTCATATAATGCGACGTAGACGATATGTGCATTTTATATTGTTTTTTGTATTTACGTTAACATTCCATATTTGTTTACGAAATACGAAACTTAATAAAAACATATTGTCTCCGCTAGAGAACTAATTGCCTGTTTAGTTTATACAAAATACGTAAATTATTTATGTATATGCAATACTAGCACTGGGCTATGCGCCTTTGTTCCCGAATAACATTTATGAAATTTGTATACATTATATACAGGGTTATTGAAGGCGATTGAAGTGTTACCTATTTAAGCGACGACCATATCTTTTTGTGTGAAATTATTTTTTGTTGATTCAAATTACAAAATTGTGGAGATAATCAAAATTTCAGAATCGTTTGCCTTTACTATAGCCTTCAAACGGTTAAAAAAAAATTAGTTGGATGCTTCACGAAAGTGATCTTCCGGTATTTTAGCCCATTCATGAACAATGGCTTTCTTTAACGCACCCATACTGGCATATTTTTTAGACCTCACCTTGTTTTCCAAAACGACCCAAATGGAATAGTCGAAATGGACGAAGTGAAGTGTGGTACATGATTTTTTAGGCATTTTTGGTTCACACGAACTTTATGAGACCGTGGAGAGTATTGTTGAAACGTTCATAGTATACGACCCGAAAGGTTTAAGTCCCCACGGCTCTAAAGCAACTTCCAAAGCATTTTCTCGATAATAAATCGTATAGACTTTCGACACCAGGGTCGATGAAAACGATTGGAGAGCATCTGTAGGCGGTCACAACTGCCTATACCATTACTTATTATGGAAAGTTACTTCGAGTGACCATTCGTAGTCTCAAATTTGCGACATTGCGTTCAGTTAAATATACACAATTATTTTAAGAGTTTATGAACTACTTAATGGGGAAATTTTTCTCATCAGCGAACACAATGTTTGGAAATACGCCACGTTCTTGCAAACGTAACAACGCCTTTGCTCTTTCGAGTCGAACTTTTTGTTGCTTTAGTGTAAGATCTTGTGCCTTTTGGAACTTGTAAGACTTTACCTTTAGCTCATTTTGGAATATGAGTCGTATTATTCCCTGGGATGTTTTCAGTTTATTGGTCATTTCATTACCACTACGACGTGGATTTCGTTTAAGTCGAGACTTAATTTTCGAACCATTTCAGGTGATGTTTATGTTTCTTTTTGTCTACCACCATAGCGTTTGGCGACGCTGCCTGTACTATTTTAACGATTTGTGTTACGATACAAAAACATTTTATTCACTTTAAGCTAACGAACAATAAATTGTTGAATTTTCAGTCAAATATAACTTTCATTCTATAAAATTTAAACGGAAATGCTAGTGGTAACAGATATACCTATGGGTAGTTTGTAACACTTCAATCGCCCTGTATATGTACCCTTTCAAGTGCAATCCTATGTACAGATGACCTAGGGTATATTCATAAATCTGAACCCAAAGTAAACCGTAAATAATTACTTCAAACTATGACTATTTCAACGAATTAATATATATAAATGTCCGATTTCTCTGAACATTATACTCATCACTTTCAATATCCATTACCGTTCCAGCACAAAAAAAAGTCTCAATTGGAGAAAGACAAAAAAACGCAGCTGAACACATACGAAGTCAAAATAACTCTTAGTAGAGCGTAAGCTGCTGCAGTATGTACCTCATATCTTTGGAAGACGCAATGGATTAACAGTCAACCAAGTCAAAATGCAGCTCTGCAGATTTTTACCGGCTTTAATCATATATCGACCATCTTAATGCTTAGCTCAAAATGCATATTGTAAAAGAGCATAATCAACTGCTGTCTAAGTAATATCTTCTTGCGTGCCATACCGATGAGCATTCCATTGGTAACTCAATCCATAAAGCATCCTCTCTACACTAATTCATATTGTAACACCTATTGTAATGCAGATAATATCAATGAGGTCAAATACAAACGTGCCACCTATACAATTGCAGTATCCTATTCGATTTATGATATATTTAAGGCCGAGAGACGCCTTCCTCATGCAGTAGAAATTATTTAAGTCTCATTTCAGAATATAGCCACATCCTAACAGTTATTTGCTAAACAGGAAAGTCACGCATTAATACGCAATTTCCAATGTACTATATGCTGCAGCTCTACTCCAAATGACGGCGCCTATATGTTGTGTCTCGATGCGCGCACTAACTTGAACCTTATTCACTTTAAGTGCGACAGATTAAAAGCTTGTTCTCTCCTCCTTGACAAAGACTAGTTTAATTTAAATCCAACCATCAATTATCCATACTTTTTCCTAAACAAACCTTTTTTTCACTCTATCTACACCTAACCATATCCTTATCCTCGTATTTATAATTCCTTTCATGTTTCCTCATTTATAAATCTCTACGAACTACAAATACAACAATAACATATATGCTTGAATTATTACAGACTCGATATACCTGCTATATAGTATTACTACAGGACCTTATAGAAGGTAGTAGCTTTTTTAATTATTTCTCATATCTACTCATTAACATGATCAATGAGATAATAAGGCAGAACTATTGGTTTGTGCTAAATTTAATTGATTTCTGTGTAGAATGATATACAACATATACTGGCATATACTTTATTCATTATATAATATTGAAGTGTTCAGCTGGAACATCTATTTCGAAAATAAGTTAGCAATATATTGTAAATCTATCTAATCTATGCAATTATATTACCTTGTAATGTCGTTTATATAGTCGGGAGAAATTAAAGAATAACTTAAACTATTTCTATGTTTTTGAGGTCTAATAATTTTGTCTGATAATAAAACCTTGGATAAGTAATATTAAAAAATTATCATTATATGTGAATCATCATAGCAATCTTTAATTGCTTTAAAAAATGTATACACAGTGCATAGTGTAAAAAAAAACTTCTTTTAATTAAAAATATTAATATAATATTTATATTACAAATATATATATATGTATATATTAAAATTTTATATTAAATCTGCCGTGAATTTATAAAAAATTAATATGGATGAATATAAATAATATTTATAAGAAATGCATCCACATTAAAAAGTAAATTTTAGAACTGCACACTTTATTTTAATTTATTTTAGTTATTTAATTTAATTAAATATAATTATTACTTTTGTTATACTAAGGCCGAGTGCGAGTTCGAGTAAATTGATGGTAAATTGAGGGTAAGAGCAAATTATGTCGGTATGGCAGCAAGTAATTACCAAAATTTCGAGCAGGGTAAATTAAATAAAAATTAGGTAAATTTGTATTACCATTGCAATACTTCACATTTTAAAAGAAGTTTAATAAATAAATTTGAAAACTTTTAACCAAAAATAATAAATAGGTGCAATAAATAATTTAATAAATATTTACATAAGTGCAGTGCAAAATATTCATAGGAAATTTTAATTTACTTTACTTCAATTTACTCGCACACGGCCTAAAAAATAACTTAACATTCAGAAAAAGAAACTTACAGTGAAATACAACCATGCAATTTATATAAAATTATTGGTAATACCACAATAATTTGAATTTTTTTTTTAAATTATTCTGTTAATTGTTGAACTCACACAATTTATCTATTTTCTAATTTAATTAACTTTTGTTAAAGAAATCAAACAAGTAAATAAATAGCTGAACACTATTTAAACTTAAAAAAAAATCTCTTAATTTTATATAACAATTTTCTTAATAATTCACTTTATTAAATTATTTACTCTTTAAAATTAATAACGCAACTATAAAATCTTTTAAAGAAAAATTTAAATTTATTCTTTATTTATTGAGATGCCACTTACTCAATATTCACATTTGACATATATTTTTTGAATACAAAAAATTAAAAATTGCGCTATAACAACCGGAAATGAGATTTATATAATTTTTTTTTTCCTTCTTTCTTTCAGCAAATATTAATTCGCGAATTCTGCACTTTAATTTATTAGAACACTATTCTCAACTATTGATGAATGTCATCACTTTGTAGAATGAAAAAGAAGGAAGAACGAAGAAGCCGATAATATCTACACATATATAATTTGCAGCACTACTTTAATCGGTTGGCGGCCATATTGAAAACATATATGAAGTTAGAAAACTTTCAGTATTCGTAGCAAATTATATATGGATATATATACATTACTGAAATAATGTAATTCGATAATAAAAATTAATATCATTTTTTTTATTAGAATTTTAATTATTTTCACATATATATTACATGTAAAAGTATTCTTTGTTTAATAACCACAAAAATACAACACTGAATATAAAAACGAAGCGAACGAAATTTTCCATTCATAGCTCGTTTAATTATTTCTCTACCTACCTCAGACGACTTTTTTTAATCACGAATTTTCCACTCTTAAGCGTCACATCGAACAACAATTTTACCACAATATTGTTTAGAAAATTATATAAAATTTTATCAATTATATATTTTGAATAGTTTCTAAAAAATATAATTAAAACACGCTAATATAATGCGCATTATTCTGTAATTTTAGGTGTGCTTCATTGCTCACACAGTTAATAGATTTTTTTTACTTTACTGCTTTACGGAACTCCGCTTCACACATTTGTCGTACCAAATCCGAATCAATACTAATCGGCAGCATGAAGCATCGTGGATTTTCTGCATTTTCGTTGTAGTTTGCTATTATTGCCATCATCAAAAATTATTTTCAATGAAGCAATTTGAAAAAAGTTAATTAATTTAAAATTATGTCTTTATTTAGAAATATATTTTAATTCTATATATTAGAAAATAAAAATGCAATTGACTAAATTTATATAAATTAAAAAACAAACTTACACAGTAGTATTTTACATAATTATTAATTGCTTAATAGTAAATTTATATTTTTGGCGGTAATAAGGCGCGGCGAAATATTTTGGCGAATACCGAATCACAATGACTCGCCTTCATAGGATGATAGTCTTGCCAACTGGTAATCCATGTACAAGTTACGCGGAAAAACATTTTAGTAATTCGTATGTAAATTGTTGGACAGTCACTTTAATAAAAACAGTAAAGCCTTAATTCTTCACATAGTTATTTTTAAAAACATTAGAATTTCAACACTTTTAAAACATATTTATAATATGTAGAAATTAAAGAAATAACTTACACAGCGGCATTCCATATTAACATTAATTGCTTAATATAAATTTTATATTTTTGGCGGTAACTAGGCGAGGCGAAATATTTTGACGAATACCAAATCACGAATGGCTCGCCTTCATAAAATAGACTTGCCAATTGGCAATCCATGTACAAATACGCGAAAAAAGTTTAATAATTCGTAAGTAACTTTTTTTGATAGTCACTTTAATAAAAACAGTAAAACATTAATTCTTCGAATTTATAAAAAAATTGAAATTTAATATTTTCAACACTTAAAACGTATTCAGCTTGCAACTTTCTCACTTGTGTTCTGTCTGCGTACTATATCTGCTTTGAATGAAACGTCAGACAAGTGTTGTATTGTTTTGATACAAAAATGGGTTATCTACCTGTGTTCATGCCAATAATACAATATTCGCTAACAAGAAATTAATCCAAGCAATATTTATTAATGGGTTAGACTAGGCGTTATTAAGGTTTTGTATATGAATATTTTATGTTTATGTGACAATATTTTGTCTTAGCTCTGAAAAATAAGTCTAACATTTTGAAGTATGTACCACGTTCAATAAACGGATCTTAAGTTTTTTTTTAATTTAGTTGTTTAGTAGTTAGTTACGCCCTTTATTTATTGTGCCATATTTTTAGAGCACATCTGCTGCGTTCGTCAATTTTAGTGGAGACTTCAATACGATTATTGAGTAAACTTTTTTCAGTATCAGAGAGAATATAGGGTATGTCCTTGATTGTCTTATAAATTAATTTCAGTTAGGACACTTTGTATGAAAGCTATAAACTTTGTCCACAAATATCAATGGCTCAATGTGCTGATCACGTACATAGGTAGTACTCCAGCACTCCATCCAGTGCGATTTAAAACTTCTCACACATCATCGACCAGCTTACTAATATATAGCAATTTTGTAAATTACAAAAACAAAATAGAACAAAGCACAAAATAAACATGTTAAGTATTCTGAGGATAACTACCGACAGTATAGGTGTTTCGAAAATTTAGCTAATTTTTTTTAATATTTATGTGTTATAATTAATATGTAATTACTGCTTAATCTTATAGTAGTAATTATGTACAAATAGTAAAATGAATAGTTATTTTATATATTACTTGTATCTGCTTGCTAATTTTTAACAACTTGTTAAAATTAGTATTTTATTTGTAAAAATGACATAAAAAGGAGATCTAAATACGCTAGTTAGTTAGTGCTTTACATATAAAATTTTTTAAGATAATTGTAAGTTAATTATTTTAATATAATTTTGAAGTTAATATAAATTACTGGCTATATGTATATGTAATGAATTCCACATTGAGTAAGCCTTATATGCAAATAAGTATTTAGTGACAAATTATTGATTTCATAACATAAACATAACCCTTTATTAATAATTATTAATTTTAATTAAATTTAATCACATTGTTATATTATATAGATTTATCATTGCTACTTATATAAATCTCTCGGCTAAAGTTACAAAAAAATATTCTCCAAAATATCGGTCTGTGTAAATGAAATCAAAGTACTTAAAAAATTTTAAAAAACACTGAAGAGGTCGCACCAATCAATATTTTTAACATTCCTTTTA